ATATTTATGTTTGTGGTTGTAATGTGACAAAATATGGAAAAGTTCAAGGGGTATGAATACTTTTGCAAACTACTGTACATAACTACATAAATAATATGTTTTATAATGATATAGATAGCTCAATTTTCTTAAATCCCAGAATTACTTCTACAAGCGAGGCATTCAACAGGGCTGTCCTATTTCTCCCAAATTATTTATTTTTGACTACTCAACTAGCCCTTCAAATCAATAACAGTCCTGAGTTAAAAGGCATTAACATTTTTGATGRAGAATACAAAATTAGTCAATTTGCGGACGATACAGCATTGTTTCTGAAAAATGATTCAATGGTTAAAAGATCTCTGAATACAGTCTCCTTATTCTCCAATGCTTCAGGATTAAGACCTRAAATGAAAAAGTGTGAGATTCTTCCCATCCACAGTTCTACTCTTTAAAACATTTCATCAATCAGAGTTGAAAATGAAGTTAAATATTTGGGTGTACTAATATCTAAAAATGCAATTAAAAAAGATACTGCTAATATCTCAGATCGCCTGGTAGATACGAAAAAAAGTTCTAGCCGCTGTTTAACAAGGGAATTGACTATTTTTGAAAGAAACACATTCTATGTGTATATCCCCACAAAATGTAAAAAAAAAAAGACTAATTGTATTATTTTCCCGTTTTTGTAGAAAAATGCATTGGATTTTGAAGCTATGATTGGAACACTTAGGATCAAATGGTTAAAAAGCTTTATACAACAAGATTCATGTGTGTTTTTTTAGTTTAGTTTATTCATTTCATTTCTTTAAAAACAACAACACAAATTCAACAACAAAAATACAAATCATAAATTAATTGAAATGTAGCAGAAGAAGAAAAAATCTTATATCTGCCCCTTTTTCTCAAATAAATAAATTTGGTCAAAAATAATCTTCAGTTTACAAAACAAAACAAAAAAGAAAAGAAAAAAGAAAAAAAAATAAAAGTTTAACTCCTTGAACAACAATTGACACATTTACATATTTCTCCTGCAAATTAACCTTTATCATTCTCTTAAATAGACATATTGATCTGGCCTTTTTTTTTTTTTTAGAATTCCTTTATTTAAAACAGGGACAGTGTTCAAATAAAACATTAAAAAGATGCTTTGCACCAGATTTAGCTTACGCTAATTTCCGTCTGTGGTCCCTGAACAACAAAATACAATCTAAAATCAAGACATAGAACAATAATCCATAAAATTTGTAAACATAACAGTCATAAAGACCATAGCAATCAATTCTAATTACAGTCTCTCTACACAATCATGAAATACATCAGCAGAACCAGTTCTACATGCTAAATGTCTGTTCATTAATCACTAATACAAGGATTACAATTAAGATATTTCAGTGCAGACATTGCTGGTTTTCCAATAACACTTTCTTAACATTATAAGTAAAATCCTTCAGGTCAGTAGAAAGTTTAAGATTTACTGGAAGCTTATTCCATTCTGTGATGCCTTTAAATGAAAAGGCTGTCTGTGCAAACACTGAGCTACATTTAGGTTTTCTACAATCCTTACTATTCACTGACCTGGTGTTCCTAGTTGTAAGTTCAGAACAGAGTTGGAAAAAAATGTTTTAGTTGTGGAGGAGCAGTGTTATTTACAATTTTGAAAATGAGCCGCACATTGGAATACACAATTAAATGATTGAAGTTTAACATTTTATGTTTTTCAACATGACAATGATGGTATTTCAAAGGCTTTTTATCTAACACTTTTATTGCTTGGTTAAATAAAGATCTTAAAGGTTTTGTTGTAGATTCATTTGCTTGTGACCAACATGAAATACAGTAATTAATGTGAGAAATTATCATTACAATTTTTAATGTTATCTTCCAGATTATTCCATAATTTAATTCCCTGGACTGAAGTACTCCATTCCTTTAAACTGGTTCTAACTTTAGGTCTCACAAACATTTATATCCCCTTGAGATTATAACAACTCTCTCTTTTAACAAAGTGTAATTGGATTTTTGAAGGAAATGTGTTTTTATGACCCCTATACATTACTGATAAAATACCATAATCAACCAAATCATAGAATTTCRATAACTTTAACTGATGGAACAATGTATTTGATGGGTGATAATAATGCTTTCTGGTGATTATTCTTACAGTTCTTTTCTGTAAAACAAAAATAGGATTTGTGATTGTTTTACATTTTCCCCAAATATCAATACAGTAGAACAAAAGTGGAACAATTATTGCTTTATATAATATAAACAGAGCTTTATCATTAAATAAATCCTTTACTTTGAACAATACTGCAATAGATTTTGCTATTTTTGTTCTTAAATGGTTTAGTATTCTTAAAAGACTTTGATAAGTGTTTTATCTTTGTAGGGGTCCTTTAAGATGATCATGGTGATCTTTTGAATTTCACATCCTTTTTTGACAAATATAATCTTAATTGCTACAAATATTTTCAGAAGGTGTGCAAAGCAGTGGCGGATCCAGTGTTTTTCTGAGTAAGGAGCCATCAAGGGGCCACAATATTCATAGAGGGGCCAAGTATTAGTTTAGCATCCTTGCATTTACATCCATGGTTTTGGTAAGGTGTATACATTTTACCATATATATTCAAACACTTGCAATGTAATGACATTATGAAAAAGCTTGAACAGCAAAATATCCTTAGCAATTTTACATGTACTTTTACTGTACATAGATAAATTGCTCTCAAAACCATAGCATATGAGAAAATGCAGCCATCATTTGTCGGTTGAAAGACTTTTTCTGCAAGATTGTTCAGATTTACAATCGTACCTGCTAATTCCAGGTCTTTCTGAAGCTCTCCACAWGTGGTCCTTGGCTCTTGGACAACTCTTCTGATCAGTCTTTTCACTCCTCTGTCAGAAATCTTGCRAGGAGCACCTGGTCGTGGTCGGTTTATGGTGAAATGATGTTCTTTCCACTTCTGAATTATGGCCCCAACAGTGCTCACTGGAACCTTCAGAAGTTTAGACATTCTTCTGTAACCGATGCCATCATTATGCTTTGCAACAATAAGGTTGTGAAGGTCTTGAGAGAGCTCTTTACTTTTACCCATCATCAGATGGTTCTTGTGTGATACCTGGCCATCATTTGGGACTGAACCAGCTGATATTAACTTGCACTGACAAGGGGCAGGCTTGTTTTCCAATTACTGAGAGAGTTCAGCTGGTGTCTTGGCTTTCCATGCCTTTTTACACCTCCCTTTCTTCATGTGTTCAATACTTTTTCCCTGTGCCATTCCACATTATTACAAATAACTTCATTTCTGGACATTTATGGTTTGTTATCGACATCTGGTGGAAATTTATGGTTTGTTATCGACATCTGGTGAAAATTTCATGTCATTAGCACCTCTAGTAATATATTTACTGAGAAAAATGTTGACGTGTTCAATACTTATTTCACCCGCTGTGTGTGGATAATTTAGGTTCTTCCTTCTCTGATGCCATAAATATAGTTAGCAAAATGTCATATTCACTGCAGTAAGTGCTGCAGTAATCAAAAGGAATGCTGGACAAAAGACTATTTTTAGAAGAATGAGAACATGGGATTTCCTTCCTTCATCATTTTTAAATATAACAAACGTTAGTGATTTTAAAAGAGAATTGTTTAGTTATTTTATCGTGTAGGGTGTTATAATTGCAAAATCTTGAATTGATATACTATGTTACTAATGTTATATTAGGTGTATGTAATTGTAACTGTTTCTGTGATGTTTGTTCTGCTTTTTTAAGGACCCCAGGAAGAGTAGCCATTGTTTTGGCAATGGCTAATGGGGATCCAAATAAATAAATAAATAAATAAATAAATAAATAAATAAATAAATAAATAAATAAATAAATAAATAGAGCAGAAAAAATATATTTCGCAAAGAACGTGTAATACTCACCAATGACCACTAGAGGTCGCTTAATGTTATAAGGTGGCGTAAATGTTCCTGAAAGTGCTGCACTGTGCAAGGAAGAAGAATTTGCTCCGCCCTCCGTTCGGACCAAAATAGCAGGGGTTGAGAAACTGGTCAGAAATGGCTGCCACCGGAGTTCTTCCCTTCATCAGAGGGGTAGACCTCAGTGGGAACGACTTCAAGGTAAGGATTTTAGGTCGTGTTAGACGAGAGTGTCTTTGACTACGACCATTCTGAGCTCAGCTGAAGCTGTTTCAGAAGTGCCACTCGTCAACAAATAGCTAAAACAAGATGATAGCTACGAGCAATGGGCGTTAGCCAGTTGAGAAATTGACGAAGCAGCAGTTCGGCTCTGCTACTGCCCGACTGGGCTTTCATTAAAGAAAAGTGCTTGTTTTGGATCACTAGCTTCTTACTTACGTCACGAAACCTGGTTAAATTTTAGCAAACTTTAGCTGTCTGGGTCAGAAGAACACGTTATGATGTTAGTATTTACCACACTTTTACTTTACAGTGTTATAAAAGCTGAATGTTAGATATGATAAAACTTTCTGACGCTGTTTTCAATGATTTTTTTTTTCTCCTTAACTTATAGGTCATCAGCAAATATGGTAAAAGTAAGACCCGGTGCAGTGCACCTTTCTTTGAACCGTCAATCAAAAACTACGTGCGGATAGTTCAGTTTTATTGCCTGAATATTTAATATAACGTTATATTATATATTAGTTTATTTTCTGAGCACTAAACAAAATGTTACTCAGTCTTAGTTTGTGTGTGGCCAGTCATTTTGTAGTTCTTGGACAAAAATAGGCAAGTTATTGGCAGAGGGCTACAAAGACACCCTAAACCCTACAAACAACTTTCTCACTGTATGCAGATAAATCACGTTTTGTTTTTGTAATTGACAACATGTTCACCACATAAACCACTGAACATATCAAATACAATGATAACTTGTTTTAAAACATAAATGTAAGCAATGCAGTTAAATATTAGCTGTAGGTGAAAATCAAAATTGCATCAAGGAATCAGATCAGACACATGGCTTTACATTATGTGTTTTTGTGTTTATTATTAGCATTATTATTATTATATTCGGACAGATTTAGATACACTCTAAAGCAATTTCTACCAAGCCATTAAACAGATAGACCCAATAAAGTGGCCAGTGAGGCTTAAGTTGCAACAATACTATCTAAACAGTTTTACAAAGATTTAAACTAATCCTTGTCTTTTTAACATCTGTAATGTCTTCCTTCCAAAAATCCTGAACATCAACAGTTTTACGGAACTAAATTCAGCTCTGTAGTTTAGCAGAATCACTGGGCAGCTGGTACATACTTCACAGTTTTGAACTCTTATATCAGTAAAATCAACAAGTATGATGTCGGCGTTAAATCTTGGATGTGTGTATTTGCTGCCGTCATTCTGTAGGAAGTTAAAATCTACTGGTTCTTTTTAAAGAAACGAGCACTTCAGGAAACACTAAAAACTGCTTCATCTCCGTATCACAGGTTTGTTATATGAAATATGTCGTAAAAGCAAAATCTGGAGGTTTGCTTTAAAGACTTTTTTACTTACGTCACTTCCATGATTGCCTTGTATTCATTGATTTTTCTTCCCTCTTTTTCTTTCCTGTGTCTCTCACTCAAGGGAGGATTCTTCCCTGAACATGTGAAGTGCATGAGCAGCCTCCGATGGCTGAAACTGAACAGGACAGGACTTTGTTACCTGCCAGAGGAGCTGGCCTCTCTGCAGAAACTGGTGAGATATTCTGAGCTGGTTTTAAATAAAACACATGGCGATCTACATATATGTTACCCTAGCTATAAATGAGGGGTATTCATTCAATTAAAATTTAAAGAGGTCCAATCAGATAGTAGCTTAGTAGTTGTATCAACATCTGAAAAATTTGATTTCAATCTAAAATTAAATGAATTTTGTCTAATTCATACCTCTTTTATTGTCGCACTATAAAAAGATGAACATGAATTTTTAAATACTGTTTATGTTCTCATTTACTGAGTAAAAGTAAGATGGCTTGTCAAAATAAGAAACTAAATAAAACATGATACATTCGTTAAAAACTTTTATACTTTGTTTCATAATGGTGTTTAACATTGCCACTTTTAAAACTGCCACATTTTCAGAACATATGGGACCAGTTTAGTGCTACAGTGGCAAATATAAAAAGAAATGACTGTCCATTCTGGATTAAATGCTCTGTTTTTCATTGTCCACTTTTCATTTTTTAGATGCCACCATTTGTTTTGGGTTTTTTTTCTACTTGTGTTGTTTAACTCTCCAGTTTCTCTCCCCTTCTCTGTCTCAACAATCGGTTTTCTCCATCCTTTCCTCTGTCTCCAACACTTGAACACTACCGTAAAGGCTGCAAAAGCTGTGCATGTAGCTCGTTAATGCTGCGTTCAGATGAACGTGTTTTTCCAGTCAAAAACACATCCAATGCCTCAAGTTGGACGCTTGTGCCTTTTGAAGGTCAGACGGTCAGCAAAATCACTCTTGAGAGAGACTTGAGAGAAGCCTCTTGGTTGTTTTCCTCTGCTGGTCTCTTTACAATGGCAGATGAAATTGAGAGAGTGGCTTGGCTTTATTTACTGAGAGCAAGAGCACGTTGTCATCAGGCGCCTCAATGTCATGTCTAGATTCACCAGATAATTCAGAGGCGTTCTGAGTTTGGTGAGTTTCACCAGTTTTGGTGAGTGTCTGTCTGTCTCAGGTTAGTGGACATCATGTAGGAGTCCGTCCTAGTGCTGGGCGATATGATCTAAATTTTATATCACGGTTTTTTCAACATTTTCACCGGTTTCACGGTATTTTTCTTTTCGTCATAGCTCAGCTGATAATAAAATGTACAAACCCTGCTTATTGACTTTTTCTTTTACCGTACCTCTGTCTGTGTCACTGTTTCCCTCCTCTGTGTCTGTTCTTCTCTGACTGGTAGTTGGAGACAGTAGTCATGCTTTTTCGTCCAGTCGTAAAGGAGGATGGTTAAGAAAAGATTATGATCGGGTTTTTTGTTTTATGTTATTTATTAAAGCTTATCAGCACGACTCACCTTGCACACCAGTCAATTCTAACTCCACTACGAACTACTTCCTGCAGGCTTTTCACAATAGAACCACGTTAAGTCTCCATCAGCATAACGTCTCCATATTAACTAACTGTGTTAAATCTAACTGTGCACGTCACTGAAGAGGTGTTTACTACTTCAGCGACGGTGAAACGGGATGTTTTTTTAAACGTCAGTCAATATAAGCAGCGGAATCGCCACCCACTGCTGCAACTAGCTGCTCCAAATATTAGCATGCTAAAGCACATAGCGGTGCAGCAAGGAAAAATGTCCCCCGGGAAACAACAGTTCACTGGCGGCCGCGACGAAACGTTCCGCTATTTAAACCGGAATGTCCAGTATTCAGAAAATTCATATCATAACAAAAATAAAAAACAGTATTCGGTACAAAATGGTATACCGCCCAGCACTAGTCCGTCCCATCGGAAAATGTGCCACTGCGTCACACAGCGGAGTCTCTCTTGATTGGTTGATGCTCCGTGTCCAACTACAAAATTTCAGATTTTCTTACTAGCCTCTGCCTCTCTCTGGGTTGCTCTGTGTGTGTGTCAATGGTTGGTCTTGGCGGAGGTTTGCACTCGCCGAGTGCTTCTAGTTGTAGCATGTACTGAGGGTAGAGACAGAAAGGGTGGTAACTATTTCTGTCAGACGTTTTGATCTCATTGCAAAGTTACAGTTAAGAATTTTTATGCCTTTTAACACAAAACTTTGAGAAAGACCTCCTTCCTTCAAAAATGGAGAAAATAGAAAAAAAGAGACTTAAGAATTCCAAATCTATCAGTATAATTTAGTGTTTTTGTGTTAGTGTTTACCTGCAGGTCTGCTGTAGTTTGATTCTGTTTACAATCAGATGCTTTTGCTTAATACAGCTGAGTTTACTTGTGCTTTTTTTTGTACTGGTTATCAAAATACCTATTCTTCCATCTTCAGGAACACCTTTCAGTGAGTCACAACAGTCTGACCACTTTACATGGAGAACTCTCCGGTTTACCAAACCTCCGGGTAACTGACACACAAAACATCCTACAGCTCATCGAACCTTTGTCTGTCTGTGCAGGAGTTTATCTTTTAATACGTTTTAACTGTATTTATTTTATGTGCAGGCGGTGGTAGCTAGAGCCAACAACCTGAAAAATTCTGGAGTTCCAGATGACATCTTTCAGCTTGAGGACTTGTCTGTGCTGGTATTTAATTATTAAAAACTCTTAAATTTGTGTGTATATGTGTGTGTGTGTGTGTGTGTGTGTGTGTGTGTATATACAGTAGTTTGCAAAAGTATTCATACC